AAAATTTTAATTTTATAGAGTAAAGTTAAAATTCTAAAATTTTCAAATGACATGTTACATTTACATAAATTTATAAAAATAGAATATAAGTAGTTGACTATATTTATGACATTTTTTAATGTTTTTTTATATAAAAAATAGTGAATGGATTAAAATTTAGTTTTAAAAATAAATTATTTAGTAATTTATTATTAATTTCTAGATATTTTAAAATATTATAACTAAAACGATTAACAACACAAAAAATGAATTTGGAAACAATTTTATTATGAAAAGTTTAAAATTTATTTTTAATTTTTAAAATTTGTGATAAAAATTACAGTAAAATTTTCACATGGAAAAATATTTAGTAAAATTTCTCATGTAAAATCAATTGAAATGAATGTCAACTTTTCAAATTCATAATGACATCATTTTTTCTAAAAATAAAATATTATTATATTATACAGATTAGAAATATGTTCTAATAACACATTATATTTATAACTACGTTTTTTATTAATAGATTGATTTAATTTTTTTATCAATTAATATAATTTTTTTATTATATAATTTTTTTATTTAATAGCATGCAGCATAAAATATGTATAATGTTTTTTGGCATTGCTTGATTATCCAGTTATACATACGATATTGTTTTGACATATTAGGACGATTGGACATGAGCTCTGGAATTTCTAAATGAAAAGATCAAGATGGAGAACACTGTAATCAACCGGGTAGAAATCCAGTGAAGGTTGAGGAGTATTACTGCAATACTAAGGAGTGGAGTTTATATAGGGGATACAATTCGATGCTCGAGCGCTTCCCAACATCCTCATCTTGCTGCTCAAAGAATTTAATGGACTTGTAGACATTGATTGTTGAAACAATTTTTTTATCTTGTTTGAATTATATTTTATGAAATGACTAATTTTGTTGCAATTTTGGTTTTTAATTTGAATTATTTTTTATTTAATTTATAATTATTTCTATCACTTCATTATTATTTTTCAAAATCTCAGACTATTTAAACTTAATAATTATACTTGATATAACTGATGGTTGAGATGATCAAGTTCATCTATTGCTGAAATTGATTATCAATGAATCATTCAAAATCTCATCTCATAAAAAATGAGATGTTGAAATTTTTTTTTTATTACAAAAATTATGATCGTAATAACAACATACATGACAATTTAAACTGTCAAACCAAATATTTTTATAAATTAAAATTTTATCAAGATGGTGCAAAATCTTGATGAAATGTTTGAAAATATTAATGTGATATCACATCTTATGTTTATTAGTTTCATTTTGAAGATAAAATTTTTTTCTGGAAAAAAGATAAGATATTTAATATAAATGAATCAAATTATAAACTTTTTTATAAAAAATATTAATTTTTTTATTTTAAAGTGTTATATACTTTTTTATAAGTGTTGATTATTTCAATAATTTGTTCACATGAAATAAAATATTTCCCTTAGTGATTTTCCTATTTTTAGTCTTTTTAGCATATTTTTTATTTAATTTTTCATGAAATTTTTGTATAAAAATTCCATTTTTTTGCAATGTAGTACATGATGTTGAAATCTTGCATGATTTAAAATCTTGAATTTTTTAAAATTTTAAATAGAAATTTTTTTCTTAGTGTTTCACAATTTTTTATTAATTGATTGAAAATAATTTTTCAAAATCATCCATGAGTTATTTATTTGAATTGAATTGAAAAATAAGAGAATTCAAAAAATCAAATTTGCTCAAATATTTGATTTTTTGATGGTTTTTAATATGACTATTTAAAAAATTTTATTTTTTCAAAAAAATGTGGAAAATTTCAAAACATTTACAATTTTTATCAAAAATTTTTTGTAACTTTTTAAGCCTATTTTTGTAAGAATATAAAATAAAAAATTTATAAATTGTTGTTGATTATTTAATTTGTCAGATTTTTTTTATTACTTTAGAAATGTTTCTCAATCAACACCAGTGATTTAATAAAAAGCTCAAGGTCTTATCATGAATTTTATTTATTAAATTATTCATCAACATTTATTTTGTCAATTATCAAGTAAACTCATGCATTATGTTATTCTCAATTTGTATTTTTAATAATACTTGTTTGATCATTGAATATACATACACTTGAAGTTATTGTCTTTGTTTTGTTCAAAGCGTGTATGTTTCAACAACAATATGTAATTGTTGCTAGTGTTTTGATTTATAATTGTGACTTAGATCTATTACAAAAATATCATTTATTTCTAAAAAATGTAATATCATTTGTAAGTAAAATTTAACAATTACAATGAAAACCACATTCAAGAATACAACACATCAAATATATAAATTACTTTTCCAAGTCTTAATACGCATGCTACACAATATTAATATATCAAATTGAAGCAAGTAGATTTTCATATTGTAATTGTTTATAACGTCAATTCATTTGTTCAAATAATCATCATCAAACTAACTAATATGAATTCATACATGAATTGGTTTTCAACTTTCAATGTTGTTTGTCATTTTATCCAAAACACATTTAATAAAGAATATTTGTTTGATATATTTATATGAAAAATTGATAATTGATAATTCATCAAATTTATAAAAATAGGTAAAAAAATCGTCTAGAGTTTTATAATTATTCTTCAAAATGATACATATTTATGCCATAAAATTATTCTTTTAGTGATAGATGAAATGTAATAAAATAAATTAAATTAAAAACTAGATTGAACATATTTTTTGTTTAATAATCTATTGAAAAAAATTCAAAATGATATTATGGAATGAATAAAATGAAAATGATTTTATTTCAAAAAGTTTTAAGATTCATTGAAATTGAGGTATTTACTTGATGGGACCCCATTGGAAGTTTAAGTCATGAATGCCCAACTTCAAAACTGCAAGTTAAACCTTGAAGGTGCAAAACAACGGAGCTCACTTGACTATGAAATAATCTAAGGAGTTAATATCGAAGAGTTTGGTGCTAGTGTGGTTGCATTCTTATTTCATGAGCAAATTGAGCTCCATCGACAACCTTGACAGTGTAAAAGTCTCGATAAGCTGGTAGCACAAGCGATATTTCATCAAGGTGAATTTATAAGAAAAAACTAGAAGCATTGGTTGATGTATATGCATAATATGTTCTTCTCATGATGCAATAACATCCAGTTTATGATAATGATAACACAAATGAATTTCATAGTATATATATTATATTTACATCATTGAATAGGATTTGTTTAGCAATAAAACTATGATACATAGGTATGATATATATGTGTGATTCACACTTTTATCCTTAGAGTAAAATGTGTGAAAAAATTTTTCTCATTATCTTTGATTTGCAAAAATAGATTATTTTTTAATTATATTTTTAATTTTCGAAATAATGATTTATTCTTTTCCAATAGAATGTATTGATCATGTATATTAAGTTTTTAAAACTGAACATTTTAAATGTACAAAATTTATAGATTTTAGGTTTATAAATTAGAAGAAATCAAAATTTCTCAACTTGAATTTACAAAACATGAACATATTTTGTTGGTTAATATGATTTCATTTTTTATAAATTTTATTTATCTTTATTCTCCTTGACTTGATTATTATGGAAGTATATGGGCCTATTTGAATTATAGTAAAATGAGTGAAAGGATATTTTTCAAAAGTAAGTAAAATATTTTGTTTAAAATTGCTAAAGAAATTTGAGATATGAAATCACATAAAATTTAAGTCCTGTGAAATAAATTGTGTTTCAATACAAAGTAGTAGTTCGTGTAAGTGAATAAGATTTTGGGTTTATAATGTATAACTCTAAGTATTTAAAACCAGAATAATACATTAATTTTAGATAAATAATTATTACAAACTTAATTAATGTTCATTTGAAATTCATTCTTATATGAGGTACATGAATTTACAAAATACGACATCAACTTGAGATTTATTAAGCTTGAAATAAATCTCGATATCCTTTGATACATGATATAGGTGATACAATCATATTGATTTTTTAAATGTGGTATAGATAAGAGCAAAATGCAGTGGAGTCCGTAACAGGCGTCTTCTTGGAGAGTGGGTTGAGCAATCAAGGAAGAGCGCAAGGTGTCGTGAGGATGGTCAGGGCGATGACATGAAATTAGAACAACCACGGAAGATGTGAAGTCACCACTTCACATCGTCCAACAGAGCTTTTCTCAACGATTGAATTGGATACGAGGGCGAATTAGAATGTCACCAGATTTGGTTTCACAGTATTTGAGAACTGAGGATCTTGGTTTGAGGATGGAACAGATACTGTTGACCAGCCAGCTGCATGCTTGATTGTTGCTTTTCCTTCTCCGCGAACTCACCTTCAACGTATTTTACCATATTGCCGTCGTTCTCTCTGCTCAGGAGTTCCTCTAGCGCGCTATGGTATTGCTCCCTCACACTAATCAGGCTAAGTCTTCCCTCCACGATGTTCAACAGGTCGGCCTCCTAGTCGAGCTCGACCCTGGCTAGTGATCAGCCAAGACAACTCAAGGTTCGCGCTCCACATGTATCAGATATCTGAGAGTTCCTTTTTGTACTGAAAATTATTTTAGTGAGATAATATAAATAAAACTTTGTATAACTTCATTAAAAAAAAATTTAAAAAATCATATCATATGAAAAATAATAATTAATATATAATATAATGGTTTCATTTTAACAAACACAAGTTTTTACTTGATATTATGATCAAGATTTTATGAACCAGGATGTTGTAATAAAGTTATAAATAATTTTCGATATTTTTTTTCAACTTTCAAAAATATTCCTTACTATTAATCGGAACCAGGTGCATTTTTCCATCAAATAAGATCAGGATATGTATATGTACTTGCAGTGTTAGAAAAAAAGGAAAAAGGGCAGATTATTCAAGATAATTAACCATTCACCATGCCAACTCCTTTTGCAGTTAGTTGCAATCTTTATTAGTATGTAAGGATTTATGAAGAATTAAGAAGCAAAAGAAACTCGGTCGTTTGCGATGCGACATGCGAAATAAATAGAAGAAAACATTTGTGTACATGAATTTATGAATATAGAACTCTGAGAACGAACGTAGAACATAGAGTGGGCACACCATCTTCAAAACAATAATGCTGGCCACAAAGAGTACAGGACATGATAATATAAGTCGCCATCTGCTCCGGTGCGCTCGCGACATGGGGCTCAAAGGAGAAGCTTCGCACGCAACCCATGCTCGTATTAGACGGGGCGAACTGGGCCATGTGCCACATGGCGAGCAGCGTGCAAGAATGTTAGAGACATATCTGCACAGGAGCTCGATGAGGTTAAAACATGCACGAGAAACGATTCAGAATTGGGCCAAAGCCTCCACAGCATACGCCCGGTCATCACAATCACGGAGCATCCGGAGCTACGTAGAACCGAATCCGAATCCGAATCGCATCTCGTACGTAGACCAGAAGGTGAAGGTCGAGGTCGAGCGCATCGAAGTGTGTACGATTCTACGAGGCGATAACGTCGAATGGACGAGCGACATTGCCATCTGCAGCATGATTGCGGACGAGGAGGAGGCCTTAAGTGTGTCATCTGCCTGAGGCCCTGAGCACATGTTGGATATTCTGCGAGCCTCGAATAGCATGTGCAATCCAGGTGTACCGTTATCAAAAATCCTCCAGGATAGACATACTGTACACAGTACGCTACCGAGAGAGAGAGAGAGAGAATGGTAGGGGCTGTTCCTAGATGGGGTTGAAGCGATGGCCTGCAATCATTTGTCGCCACGCTTCTTGTACAGACAAACACCAGCATTGCTGTGGCTTGCAACAGTAGCTGTACGATCTGGGGTCTTGGCGTTCGATGTTGGCCATTTCACTACACTGCTGGGCGTTTCGCTACATTGGATTGTTCCACCTTTCCGCGCAGGCTTTCGTCAATAATGTATGGAAATGGAGTCGATGTTGATATTGTTTGGGCTCCGGAAAATATTGCTTTCTCCCGAATCGATCCTCGTTCGGTCCATGGCTGACGTCGGGGGGCGGGTTTCAATGCATCTTGAGACTTTGAAGGAAATTAAGGAATAGAGTAGGTAAGCTCGGAATAGAACGCGACCTGGAGCAAAAAAGGTTAGAAACTACGCTTTTGATAAGAAGCAGGGGTCGGTGGTGCTGCTTGTGCATACCTCTTGCAGTTTGGGATGCTTTTTGCTTGTTCGTTCCCAAACGACAAGTTCTGGAAGGCAGTCAGCCGTGGGGTTCAACTGCAAGGTGCCTATTCAACTAGTAGAGTATCGCAACACAGAGGAATCCTGAACTTTTCTGATTTATGTAGTGAAAGCAGTTGGTACGAGAGATCATTTATCTTTTCAATCAATTGCAGCTTTTAAGACCTCGCGAAAAGTAGCGCTTGTATGAGCTGTTGGGAATCTTTCTAGCGTTCTTCGTTGGTCTGAAAGATTAAGCAAGGTGGGGCCAGGACGCATTAGCTGGCCTCTTTTGATCTCCGCATCGATATTAGCGAATGGGGACAAGCAAAATCATCTACTGCCTACCACTACAAGAAGCAGCAGCAGCAGCAACTGCTCAATCATATTCTTACCTCTTTCTACCGTTTTCTCTACGCTCTTTCAGACACCACACTCCTCCTCCTCCTCCTCCTTCCGCTCCTCAAGTCCGGCCGAGCCCAGCCAGCGGAAGCTAGCTCGATGTTGGCTGGAGTTGTTGCCGATGACGATTTTAACCGCTCCTTCTGTCAAACACCATACAAACGATGCACGCAGCGATGAAATATCTCGTGAACTCTTCCACAATGTGCCTTTCCAAGAAGTAGAAGCTGTTGGTTGTACACCGTCAATGGACAAACAACAACCTACCATTTTAAGATAACCGCTCTCCAAGGAAGAGCTCTCCTGCTCCCTTTACAACCGATTCCCAATTGCAATTCTTTCTTCTCCAAGTAGTTTGCCTCTTTCTCGAATGGAGCATTAGGGTTGTCCTGGTGCACCACAACTCCCCTGGTACATACATCCACAGCACAACTGACCAACAAAACGTACCATACCTTCGTCCACAAGACATTTCTATGTAACGAACAAGACAGGCACATGAATGCAAGAGATCGGAGGAAGGAGGAAGCCCGGCGAAGGGAGCAGCTCTGGGTGAGGCATGATGACGAGAGATTCTCGTCGCCGAACGTGCTCGCCCCGGATTTGGGCGCTCGTCACCATCACGGTTTCGTCCAACTTCGTTCCAACTTCCCACCTCCCACTTCCCAGCGAGACCCGACGCGACCCGAGGTCCCAAATTGCCCAAAGCCTAGAAACAAACAAACCAACCAACAGCAAAGACCCAAAGACCAAAATAGCGACCGACCGGGCTGGCTGGCTGCGGACGTCCATCGCTCAGCACTGCATTGTCCTGCTCGGGCTCTGGTGTACTTTCCGGGTTCTCACTTATTACAGACCAAAAAGGTGAAACATAGAGAGTTGCACAAGTCACGTCAGCCAAGGGCTCGATCGTCGTCGCAGGGCCCTCCTGCTCCTTTATGGCAAAGTGACAAGATTGTTCTTTACTTCTTTGTTTGTGATATTGTAAGCAAGTACGTGAGTAGATTGACACTGAGCCTGCCTGCGATCGGTGACAGGGCCGGAGCGAGTTCGTGGCTTTGCGTTGTTCCATGACAATCTCATCTGCTTGCACGTGCTCCCCTTGCATCAACTCCACTCCCAAACAATAGAATACTGATTCTGTTCTGCGCCTTACATGCCTCAAGAAGGTTCAATGGAGTTGCTGACACTACATCGGAAAGGTCCTCCCCTCGCAGCCAAGATTGGCTTTTCTCTTTTCTGCCATTGACTCCATGACTCAATCTAGTCTGCAGATTGCTTGTTGATTCCTCTGCTCGCATCCTCCGATATAGTCTTACTTTATTGGCAGATTATTTGTCTATCAGATTCATACGCGAAATCATTCTCTTAATGATTGATATCATATCGAATTTTTCGGTTATTAAATTAGGGCGAGAGCGCTGTTGGGAATACATGGAATATGTAGTCAGTCCATTATACCCTGGGCCGATTATTTTAAAGCAGCCCGTGGCATTATTTATATATTTCTGTTGGTTGCAAAAGCACCGAGTCAGTACTGGCGTTGATCTGGGTCGATGGGACTCAATTGAATATGCGTCTCGACATGAGTTCATCCGCGCAAGTGATTTCTGACGGAATTCCCGAGCTAGGAGTAATCTTCAGCTACTAATCATTCAGAAAAAAGTGAAAATAAAGCACAATAACTTCTCGAGTCGACATGATCGAGTGTATTGACTTTTCTACCTGCGGTCAAGGAATCTCGTGAGAGTTTCAAGATATTTTGCATTTCGCCTTTTTAACGGGAATTTCATCATTTCAGCGATAACAACTTGTGAGTGCACCATATGATGATCTGCGTACCAGTTGGACCATGAGCCACAAGAAGAGTGGATGCGACCTGCTATGTCTTAAAAAATGATATCTTGAAATAACGCTATGCGATGAATAAAGTCGTCTCTTGTACCCGCAATTTGGGATGTATCAGATATTTCAGTCATGAATCAAATTTGTACCAGCAAGATCAGCAACCAAAATTCACCATTGGCCAGCTCAGGAATGCTGATTAGGGTGAAATATCATGATGGCAAACCAAGTGTACGAAAAATGGGTGATGCTTTGTGTGATGAACTTTATATTCATATTTCTTGAATAAATATAAATGCTTTGCTTTGAAGTTGACATTTTGAATGTCATAAATGTTGCTAACAATGATCAAATATGTAAATGCTTGAAATACAATTGATGTTTATAATCAACACTATTTTAAAAAAAATATGAGAGTAAATATTTACAATTGCACATGTTTCAAAGATTTAATCATTGCAATGTTGTGGCATTTTCATATCAAGTAAATTTCATCTACAATATTTACAAATTACAAAAGATGAAGAAGAATTCATCCTTGATGACAGATGTCATGCAAAAAAATTAATTTTGAAATTTCAAAAAAAAATTAAATTGAAAAATAATTTTTAATAGATTTCAGCTTAATTTACAAAAATTAAAAAAAAATCTTGCAGAAAAACATTGTCATTCATGTTGAATTGTTTAACGAATTGTTTCAAAATTTGATTGCTACTATTTTAATTAAAAATAAAATTTTTAATTGTTTAAATAAGAAACAAATCATAAAAATTTGAGTGAATGAGATCTTTCATATCAAGCAATATATCCAAATATCAACTTTCACTCACTATATAGATGATCATTTAGAAAAAATTTACATGAATTTAATGGGTAACATTAAGTTTAATATATATATATATATACATATCACATTATTCATCCTTTACAAAAAAATCTTGTCAAAAGAGTTGAAAAATTAATGAACAAGGAATGACAACATCATAAAAATTAAATGATAAATTCTTCTATATTGTTTTGTTGGCAAAACTGAGGCAAAATAAAGAGTCATAAACTAATATTTTCATCTGTACTATACTGGATGAATAATGAAAAAAGGCTAATGAATATTTTCAACATCAAATATTTTGAAGAAAATGAGTAAATAAATAAATATTTTGAGTAAAAATTTCATGCAATCACATCATGAAAAATAAAAATATAATTATCTCAAAAATTCTGTATAAAAATAAAAAATTAATATCAATGATAAATGCTTTCAGTCTCAATAAATATATTTAGATATGAATCATGATTTTTGAAAAGGAGTTACCTCATGGAAAATAACATTGAATCTTCAGTACATCATAAATGCTTAAAACACTGAATCTACTGAACTTTTAAAACTTTATTTAGATATAATTTTTTCCCCAACATATATATTGATAATAGATCTGGATGATGCAGATACATAATTAAGTGTAATAAGTCATTTATAATTTAATCACTTAGCAGATTCTTGTTTTAAAAATAATCGACTGATTTCATATTTGATACATGGATGAAGTTGTGGATATCGAATCTAAAGTTCAAATGTATGCTGCAAAGTTTTGCATACATATAAAAGATATAGATTGATAAAATATGTTATTTTAACATAAATAGAAAAAAAATCAAAGATAATCATAAGAACCCTTAGAAGCTTTTTTATCCAATTAGATGAGAATCAATTCAATAAAAAATCTTCAGACAAATGAAGTTAAATTGTGACTTCTTTTTAGTAAAATAGCTATAAATGAAAATGATGATGTATCTAGATGCTAAAAAGCATCTTAATCTAAATAGATTGCTATCAAGTAGAAAATATTTCATATTAAAATCGTATATTGTACAGAAAATAGATAATTTGTTTGAGCAATTTCCTCGGGCAAGTCTTTAATTAAATTTGATTGTAGAGTTGATACAATCAGATCATTGTGGTTGAAAAATATTTAAAAATAAAAATATTTTCGTATATATAAATCAAGAGGATATATATATATATCACCAAACACAAAGAAACACAACGTAGCGGTAACACAAAGTGCATACATTTTATCTGCTAGAAAAAGTGATAATAATTGAAAATTGAATGCTTCAAATTTTTCATGCATTGGTGATGTGAATCATGCAATATCATTCTTTTAGTAGCTTACTTAGATAAAAACACGAAATATGATACAAATACAAATACAAATATACATATTATAGAAGTTCAATGTGAATAAACAAAATTCAGTTTTTTTAACAATGCAATGAGAAATCGTAAAGATATTATTTATAATCTTACAACTCCAAAGTTGTTATATCTTATATTACTGGTCATTTCAAATATATAAAGTACTTGCAATATTCTAGACTTGAATTTTAAATTTGAAATAGTTTTGATTATTTAACTTCAAATTTAATGATATAGATCATATCGGATGAATACACATATCTGAATATGTCAACTTTTATTTAATTTTTTTTTGTGTAATTAAAGAACATGAATGAGTATGCATCATGTAACCTTCTAGCTGTTGATCATAAGTTATACTTAAACAATATACTTACATGACATGTTTATGATATGTGGATAATTCAAATGTGACAATTAAAATATGTATAATTCTTGTTCTTGTTCAAGATCATGACTTATTTTTATCCTTCTTAATTGTGGTGAAAAATTCTTAATATGCATACGTTTTTAATGTGGCATGCTGGCTAGTTTGGTAATTATATTGTAACAACTTAATAAAAATTGGGTCATTTTATTTATTTTAGCTTACCCTCACAAAGTTATCATAATCTCGACGGAGAAAATGACTAGTTGATGTTAAAACTAGCTGAATACCGTCACTAAGTAAAGCTTACTAGTAAATTGTGAAACATATCATCTATGTTGATGTCTAGCAATTTAAATATTTAATTAAATATTTAAATCCTTACAATGTATGTTGTACATAAAATTAGAATATGCCTGATTTATCCAGCATGATTTGTGATTAGACAGTGCATGAGATATTGTACCTACAGCGGAGAGTGCAATTAGCACTGTTAGCACTGAATGATTTAAAAAAGGGTGGAGCAATTGTACGAGGTAATCGTACAAAAGTCTATTTACACAGGAGCAACTTATCATTAATTCCTGCATAAAGTTGTACAAAACAGCAGCGGGAGTTGAAGGCATGAGATCATGCTGGGAAATGATAATGTGAAAAGCTGGTCGTGTGGATCGATGCAGGGAAGGGAACAAGCGAGAAAACAATGTCCACTTGCAGTTGCACAACACTTTGCTGGTGTGCATCTTCTAACAAAAGCCCGAGGCTTGTCTACTGCAAAGAAAGGACTTGAAGGACATGCTATATCGAGAATGGGGTAGATCAACAACCACAACTGCAGCAGCAGACGACGGTACGAAGGAGTTACGATTGGGCTCGATTTGGTACTTGACTGCGAAGAAAAGTGTCGATTTGTACTTGTTTAGGCAAGAAATAATCGATCGACGTGGATGAGGACGGAGGACCGAAGGGGAGGAGATAAGGCGGCCAACTAACTAACTATCGGTGTGAGTCCAAGCATGCGAGCGAAGAAAAACCAAGAAGATCCTCAAAGATCAGGTTGAACTTTCTCGTCTGGGAACTCTTTTCGCTGACATCAAGAGAACAAAAAAGCTTTTGCTGGAATTGCTATTGTGAGAGTCGTGAATGGCATATGGTCGGCGCAAACATGCAAAATGCGATGGCCCACCTCGCGAAAAGTTCTCATCAGTACCGATCACGTTACGAGAATGCTTCAAGGTCAATCCCCTCTCTCGCTGTCCTTCCTCTCTCTCTCTCTCTCTATCTCTCTCTCTTTCTCTTTATCTCTGATCTCTTTTCTCTTTCTTGCATTGCGATCCTTTTCGAGAATTATCAAACGCGTGATGAGCCATCGTTGTGAGGAGAAGACTTGATCGAAGTACCTAGAGCAAAAGAAAGAAATTGCAGACTAGACGGCTGATGAGACTCAGCCTCGAGAAGCAATCAAGAAAATCAGTCAAAGTCTTCAAGAGAGAGAGAGAGAGGGAAAATTTCCAGAGACATGTAGCCTCACATGGACAACCGTCCCAACCACCTCAACTTGACCCGGCTTGACTTGACTTGCATTGCATTGCATTAGGTTACCTTTCTTCATCTGTACCTTGGCTTTGGAAAATCCGTAGCTAGCCTTTGGGGGAGGCTAGGTAGCATGCTTCTCCCCCACCCTTGGGCTTGGATTATGCGTAGAAGGACAAGTACGTCTTTTCCCACCGCCAGTCTAGATATCTAGGATCAGTACAGTCTAGAGAAAGATTCGAATTTATGGAGGTTGATAGTCAGAAGAGTCTTTCCTTCTCTTTCCGAGTATGTGCCAGATCATGATCGACTCTATGGGACGTGGAAAAATGTGGAGCCTATAGAGTCAAGAAAGTCGAATCTCGTAGCAATGATAATTTATCCACCCATTGCTGCTACTGCTGCTGCATAGCAGCAGTAGCAGCAACATATGCCTCTGCTCCTTGGACGCATATGTTGCATATCAACTTTCTCGCTTCGCCTCGACTCTACTCACTACCGCAACTAGAGTGCCATGCGGAGATCGTGGCCAAGGTAGAAGTTGAAAGTCGACTTTTCCCCACTGTCTTCTTCCAATCACTACATGGTGGGAATAGCCCACGGAAGAAGGAAGGCCTTGTCAGGCTGTCCGGGTAAAGTTTGAAGTGTCCAAGGATCTAGTCCGGCCTACCACCAGCGCACCACCTCCTCCCCTGCCCCTGCTCCTGCTCCTGCTGCTTCTCCCCATCGATCTGCCATGCCGGAGGAGATGAGTTCTCGCTTTTCTCACGAATGAAGACAACCGCAACATCATCTCGCTCTCTTCCCTCGACAAAGGTTGGATACTTTGGCTGCCAACGATTCCCTTCCATCTCCTCCTCCATATCTCGCACTACAGTGCAAAATATCAGGAGGAGGCCATGGCTCAGAGCGTCTCTCCTAAACTAACCACCTTCCTTCTGTAGTGTGCTGAGCTGGTCGAGTTTTCCTTTATGTCTTGTTGGCGTAGTTTCCTTCACTTCGTTCAGGCCGGACTTGACCACACGCCCTGGAGCTCTGGCTTGCATGATAAGGTTAACTGTAGAGGTGAAGTCGTCGAAGCGGATCACATTTTCAGCTCGGAAGATTTGTGGGCTACGAGTGTGGAGGTCGGCTCGGAGAGGGGAGGAGTCGAGGCCGGCAGGGGAATACCTGTAACTTTCATGAAGAAAGAAGCAAGTGGCAAGCAGCGAAAGCCTGGGGCCAGAGGACGATGGGATGTGGGAAACTGGGAATGAAGAGGAGGAGTACTCTGAGGAGGGGCCGGTTCCGTTCAGCTGTATTTCTATCCTGGGACTAAATGGGAGGGGAGGGGAGGGCTCAGGGCGGTACGGGTCACTGCCTAATCTGAAAAGATGAGAGAGATGTAGTTGATAACGCGTTCGCAAGCAGTCTCTCGTCGGGAGCACTGAGGGAGGTCTGACACAGAATTGAATGAATGAAATTAATGACCCGAGGCAGATACTATCAGTCAATAATATACTGTACTTTGTGGTAATTCTTCCAAGGACCTTGACATCGTTCCTGTATCGTGGGAGTATCCGAGTGCTGGAGTTTCCGGTCGCAGGAACATTCTTAAGACATTACCCACTCACTTGAACTCAATTGACCGTATGTGATCCATTCATCCGCCTGCAGGGCAGATTCAATCGTGCGTACACGTGTACGTGAGGGAGCTGTGTGGCTCTACTGGATATCTGATCCGGTACGGTTGTTTCTTTGGTTACAGAAGAAGTCCCTAAATTTCGTTGTTGGAAGATCTCTCCCGAGTCCCGTCGGGAGAGATCTTCCAACTGAGCGAGTCTGAGAATCTGGTATGGGCAGATGTGAGTCATGTGTGGGCCAAAAGTCCACACTTCGAAAGTGACTTGCAGACCCGGGCAACCACTGAAGGATCTGACACTTGACGTCGCGCTGTTGTCGCCTTCTTTGAAGCTCAACTGCAAATAAAATATCTCGAAAGGTCACCTTTCTCTGGAATGTCAGCTGTTCTTTGGCCAGAATCCACTTTTGCATGTCAGCTCAAGATTCGCCCGCACTGTCAGCCAGAGCCCCCCGCTCGTTCTGCTCTGCTGCGAAAGCAGGCACAGAGATGGCGCTCGGGCCAGCCCGGCCCAGCCCAGCAGCCCAGCCCAGCCCAGCCATGTCCGGACTCCGGGCTGCCGCAGCCCTCCTGCAAGCAGCGAGCGAGAGCCGAAGCTTTTCCCACTGCGGCTGGATCTCTTTCTGTTCATGTCACGACTGTCAATCTGCAAAGATTTGCAGACGTGAAAACCACTGTTCGCACGCTCTTTGCGAAGAAAGGACAATCCGCAAGTCAAAAGCTGCTGCTGTCACTATGCGCAAAGGTTTCCCAAGCATAACGGTCAAACTGGTCTCCCCTCGCCCGGCTGCACAAAGTGCCACCCCCACACCGAAACTGCTCTTTCTCCCCCCCCCTCCTCGCTTTCCCTTCCCAAGTCCCAACCCTTTCTTCCTTTCTTCCTTTCTTCCTCCCCCTCCCTCTCTGCGAAATAGTTGGCGCGATCCAGAAACACATTCAATTCAGGTGATACACGCCTTTTGTGCGTCGAGCGCAGGGCCACCAGTCGAGCCAGGAACTCAAGGGATGCAAGCTTGTAGGTAGCGTACCGAACGATCTTTCCTGAATCTGCTGGCACGCTACTGAATCTGGGGCTTTAGAGAACGAGCACCATTGGGGGAGTTTGATTTTCCCCAATTTTGATTGGGACCCCGATGTGTACTCTGGTCAGCTGGGACTGTCTTTCTTCCGTCGACTGCATGTGGCGTAGAGAGGAGGATTCCATGCTTTCCCTGTCCTTCGGCCTGCGGTACAGAACTGTATACTCTCTCCCCGATCGATGAGCTCGTCCCGCTTTCCCGTACACGGTGCTTTTGGCTCGTGTTGCTCGAGCCATGTTTATCTGAACTGTCGACCGACCACGGTTTGGATGAGTGCACTGCGTAGGGCACTCGACTCCGCTAGGTGCGCCGAATCATGGTGCCCAAACTGCTCCATTGTTGGCGGCTTTCCATCATCCCTGCGAAAAAGGTACGGATAGCTATATCCCAAAAGCCGATGCTGCGTCAATGGTCTGCGGCACGTCATGCGGATATGCCAGGTGTGCTCGGGGCCTGTGGCAATCCGGTGGCGAGAGGTTTGAAAAGCCTGGGCAGGGGGGATGGGGGATGGGCGATGGGCGAGAAAGAGCACGTAGTGCGGCCGAAGTCATCATTATACACTCGGGCATCGTTCCCAGCGCCCTCCAGAGCAGAGCACCGGCAGGGCAGGGCAGGGCAGGGCATGGCACAGCGGAGCAGAGCAGAGCACAGCAACTCTCCTACTACTGACTAGAACGCAACATACGCCAGGAAAAAGCCACGAACGCTTGAAATTAAATACACAGGTACAAGAGGAAATAAAAAGGCCAAGAATTTGCTCACTGCAAAAATTGGAGCTAATGTACACTCTTAAAGGCAACAGTATGCCTATGAGAACCCGGAAGAGTGGACTGAAATATGGGTGAGCTAAAAAAGGTTCGGTAGATTTTAAATCACCCCTGCACATTTGAATACCTTCACATTTCAATAATGAATAATGTATGAGAGATTTCCTAACTACAACTCGTAAATCATATTCTGAAACCTGCACTAAGTTAATTACACGTGTTCTTATTTTGCCGAATCTACATTCAATGCGTCCTGCAAGTCCACAAACGAAAAGGTGGAGGGATCGACACAGGCGCTAACACTGGAGCCCAAATGAGAAGCTCCGTCGAAGAAATGTTGGAGACCCTGACCCCTGTCGGAGGTACACAGCTTTTCTAAACAATACAAGCGTCCAAAAGTTTCTAAGTGATATTATCACAGAAGGAAGGGATGCAGCATAAATTGTTGCCACTAGCCCAATTTTATCGATGCGGGTAGCAAACCCACTCTAACTGCAGCATTCTCCTGAGTTTCCAGTGCTTGACACCGATCGATCACCAGCTTCACCACACAGTTCGGGCCGACTTCGCACTTATCGAGAACTGAGCCCACGCTCTTCACCAGAATTTCGTTGACCCAACTGTTGAACACTTTCTGGTCTGAGTTCGTTTGCCAGGCAGCTGAAACTAACTGTTCTAAAACTGCAACATCGATCTCCACAGTTGCTCCGGTGGCCAATATGCTCCTGGAGGCGCTCTCAAACTGCTCGAGAATATTGCTAGTCAGGGTGTCAAAATCAAATGGCTTGAACATCACAAACGCATCCACCGAGTCGAACATCTCTTTCGGCAGAGACTCGCGGGCACAAGCTATCACTTTCTTCGCAAGAGCCTGCTCAGTCTCCGGTTCAGGCCTCTCGGGGGTAGTATTAACATCTGTCGTACATGATAAGTCGTCCACCGTTTCGTTCTCCTCGGCAGAAAGATTTAAGTCCAGAGCCAGGGCCTTGCTTGACACCGAGCCCTCTTTCTTCAGTCGTTTCCCTTCCATTAATGCACAATCATTTGCATCGCCTTGCAACGCCCAATGAGCCCTACGTTTACTCCGAGAAACCGATGGTGAGGAGCTGCGTTCTAGTGAAGGATCCCCACTTTCATTCTCGAGTGACACACTGTAATTCACAACCGACACGCCTCTTCCATTATCTTGCAAAACTTTTTCGCTCTTCAAATCCTCTATTTGAAACTTCATTCCGTATGAGAATAGCCGAGACAGCTTCTCTTCCTCGAAGGCAAGCGATGCCTGCCTTTCGTAACCCTGCTTCGCTGACAGAAGACTCCCACCCACACTACAGGTCATAATAACGATGACATTCGCAAAACTAACCTCTTTGCCATTTGACGAGGCAAGCTTGCCCCTTTCCATGGCCCTCAGCAGATTCCCCCTGACAACAGAATCTGCTTGATCCACGTCCTCCAACAGTACCACCGAGAAGGGCTTCAGGCGCACGGCCTCCACCAACCTGTCTAAAGGGGTCTTCCCTCTGTACCTCACTCCATTGTTGTCGGAAGATGATATGCCAGTGCCGGATCCAAAGGATGCAGAATCTACATGGTTGCCACCGAGCTGCATCCAAATTAGCTTCTTCTCGTCACCAAAAACCAATTTAGCAAGAGCTTTGGCAATCTCTCGTTTCCCAACTCTATCTGGTCCTAAAAAGAGCAACCATGTATCTGATTTCAGAGATGAGCCTCTCTTCCTCCCGTTGCCAGAACGACAATCCGTCACAGAAGAAGCAACTGCGGTTGTGGCTTCCTTTTGCCACGGCACCAGTTCCTGCAGACCCCTCCATAAGCCCTTGAGACTGTCCATGTCATTCGGTCGGAACATTGGGCCACAAGAAGGTGGCTTTTGATCACCTTCCTTCATTGACCCCATCCCTAAAGAAGTAGGAACACGCCAAGGGAGTGACACCTCAGGAACGGGCTCACTACGAGAGTTTCCAGTGCTAGATGGCTTCCATCCACCGAGGAGTGGCTGTTGACCTTCTTCCCGAAGATCTCTCCTCGGTGAGGGTACTTCAACACTTGAACGACCCAAAGCCAAATCTGATCCCATGGAGCCACGAGTATCTCGTTGCAGACCTTGAGCAGGAGAGAGGCCGAGTTTGCTGTTGTCGATCACACCACCTGAGTCGTCTTTCTTCATCCAGCTACATAGTCCGCTGGAAGTACCATCCGTGTTGCTACTGACAGAAACGGTTGCACGGTTGGAGTAGCTGCTGCTCAGTGCATTTTGACTAAGTGCCCACGGTGGTATACCCCCGACCTTTGACGACACGGGAGACGGCTGTTCAGATGATTTAGCAACTAGGAACTTCACAGGCTCCGGCCTTGGCCAACTTGAAATATTCATTAGGTTGGACAACAAAGAAGAGCTCTTCTCCTGAGTAACGATGCTCTCATTTGCGGCTTGACTGGAAGGCTGGAAATTGCGAGCCGAATCGACGTGATTAGCAGACCACCCTCCAGGATTGGTCGAGTGGTTAGCACATACTTGCCGCCAATTGTCCTTCAGATCTTGAAGCCGCTGTGAGAACGACGGGCTTTGTGTCATCATATTTTCCTCCTCTTTGACCTGCCAGACATGAGTACAAACTCCGATTAGTCCAAACGAATTTCCAGGCAACACGACATTTACGTAAACAAGACTCTTGACTTTGCAGGGATAAGATGAACGCTAAAACGCAAGGAGCTTCAGCATAAAACAAATAAATATGAGGACTTCATCAGAGATATCAAGCTGTACAGCTCTTAAGAGGACATTAATCGCTTACCGCAGACAGAGGAGGCCAATTCATCTCTTTAGACTTCACCATCCACGGTGGTTGAGGTGTGCTTGATGGTGGCATGTAAGAACGTTCTGATTTCATCAGGCGAGACAAGTCGTTTTGATACTTCCTGGTGCAGTCTGGACAACAATCCAAGCCATCTGAACCGTTGTCCACGCTAGGAGATTTCATGAGTGGGTTCACAGAGCTCAAAAGTTCTGCTGAGCTGCGCTGGCCGTTGAGCTTGCTTTGATAACTGCCATACCTGGAACAGCGAATACCACAAAACATCATGAATTTCCAGTACAGCATTCCTCGTACATCAAAGTTTGTCACATGGACATCTGGAATCGGTGGTGAGTGCTATCAACAGAACAAATACCAGGCAGAGTATCTTCTCATTCACAGATGGCCCAGGGACCCTTCCAGCTTCACCATAAGCTTGCCAATTTCCTTCAAGAACTAAAGTGTGGTTCCTGAGATTGCTAGAGGAAACTCTGAAGCAGATGGGACCGTCCCTCAACTCTGTGACGATTTATATGTAGCTCCTTACCGACTTCACGTCTTTCGTTCACTTATGTGTAGCAAGAATAACGAAGGACATTGCCAGCACCAAAAAAAATAAAATACCTACTCTCCTAAAGCAGGAGGTAATGATCGCGTATGAACAATAACTCAAGTGATGAGAAGAAAGCAAAAGCGTCATCTGGAAGAAGGTACTGATTGCCGAGTCTGCAACTCGATTAGGTGCTCGACTAAAGATCGTTCGTTTCTACAGATACACGAAGTAGGATAAGAGGCGAGGTATTATACCTGGATTGGAAACCCAGACTACTGTTGACAGAAATTAAGATCGGTTGAAGATTTAGTCGCGTTTCCAACGAATGGTTTCCGACCTGACATCCCATGAAAGTTGGAGAAGAGGCGGTGGCAAGGAGCCAGAAACGCTGACTGGAATATGTATCCAGGAACCGAGTGAGCTCCTGAACCACAAGTCGTGCTTGCGAACATGTCATGGGTGCTTTTCCTGAATCGGACAGCCATTGCAGGTCGCCAACGGACAGAATGGCACCGTCCGGCATACTCGCTTCCAAAGTGTGTCGCAGCTGGGCGAGCTTCTGTTCCATCTCTTCCGGCGAAAAGAGTCCCACAGAAATGGAGTTGAAGGGCAGGTTCACAAACTGAACGCCTTTCAAAAACTCAGGGACTACTCCATTTTTCAACCTTTGAGAGAACTCTCGTACAACCACACTGCTGTTCTGCACCCCGACGTCGGTAACCAAAACAGGATTCCCCTTCTTCGCCAGAATCTCCACAACATTCCTTATGTTCTCCTCGTGAACATTGGACCGCGCCGGACCGCCACTCAAAGGTCCATTGTGCGCATGTGGATGGGATCGCGATTGCTCCATCCGTTTCATGAAAATTGGAGAGTTATCGAGGAAAGATGGCGAAAGACTAGAAAAGGAATGTCCCTCACCATCTTGTCGATGAAATGAACCAAGCAATGGAGACTCCTTCTCGGATTGGAAATCCGCAACATTGGGAACGAGGCCACGCTCAACCATTCTTAGGTTGTTTTCGGAAGATTCTAGCATCAGAGATGGAGAAGAGTTGAAGAGGGAGTGACGAAACTGGACGCTTTCGAGTGGAGAACCAGAAAAAGGGGTTATCGGCAGTCTCTCACGTCGCCTCAACTGGCTACAGCTATCCAGCGAGGAAGAAGAGCACGTCAGAGATGGCGAGGACTGGGCGGCAGCTTCCTCCATATTACTTTTCACGTCGGTACTGGAAAACCCGGCCTCTCGCATGACACGACTCACACTGGGATCATCCAAAATCGAGATAATTAGTTGATCCATCTCCACCTTCACAGCCAGCAAGGGCTGCAGGCTCTGTTCGGGCGTCCCTCGTCTTTGATGAGCTTGCGCCCTTTTCAAAGCTGCAACCAAGGCGTTGCTGAGAACCGGGTTCGGCGATTTCTCCTGGTTCGATGGCAATCTGTCCAGAGCGATTTTGAAGCACAATTCCAGAGCTCGACATTGCAGAGGATGAGAAAGATCCTTGTTGTGCGACTGGAGGCATGCCCGCCTCAAGGGACTGCCGGGACTAGATTGAATAAGCAGAATGGCTGCTACGTGCAGAGGTTGCACTTGACTATGGCCTCGACTCTTTGCCTCGGACACTGCCGACCTGACGACCGAGGCAGCGGCCGGGGTTAAAGTGTGCTGGACAGCGCCAACCCCGGCCCGCATCTTGGCGAATGCTTGCACTTCCCGACCTGCAAGAAGAGCGAGTGTGACCACTGCCCTCACTCGTCGCGCGAGGGGAAAAGCTCGACCGGGCGTCCAACTTCCTTACGCCTTCTTGACAATCGAATCCAATGGCTGCCACTCCAGTTCGGTGCGCCTTATCGGGCAGCGAACTCTCGCCAGTACAGAAGTCGCTCCTGAACCCAGCCTCCTGGCATTCTCCGACCCATGAATCCTACGCACCTGCTCGGCCTGCCTCCGAGCAATCGGCGACTCGTCCTCTGATGAGCAGACACCGAAAGATTTTCATCCACCGCCGAGAATGAACACCGAAACCGATACATCCCTCCGCAGCCCGTTCCTCATCTGCGCGCTGCTGCTTACGATGCTCCCGAGCACGGGCCGAGCAATCTGAGAATCGATGCGCTCTAGGAGACGAGACTGACTACGGGGCGATGCGCATTTCCGCCACTTCCGTCATCCATTCCTTCGACGCTCGCTCGCTCGCTCCAGACACCCAACACGCTACGCTACACAACACCCACAAATCATCACCGCTGCTCCTCGCACCATCCAGGCTCGGCCTCGCGCAGAGCTCACTCGCTCACACACTGACTGTCCTCGGCCGGTGCCAATCTCTGGCTCGACCTCGTTCGTAGGAAGGGCTACGACAAAAATCGCGAGCTCTGGGGGAAAAATCTAGCAACTCCGCCTCTCTGAGAGTCCAGTCTAGCTACGAAGGCAGAGGGCCGCAGTCACCGCATGGTCATTTGCGAGCCAGCCTGCTGCTGCTGCTGCTGCATGCTTCCACGACCGAGAAGCGAGGACGGAGCAGCAGCAAAACATGCTATGGCCCTTCGCTTTTCGCCTACGAGCGCTGCGCGTGGCCAATCGCTGCTTTCCAACTCATCTCCTCCTCATCCCTCATCGGCCTCGATTCGCACTCTCCTCCTCCTCCTCCTCCTCCCAAGAATTTTCTTTCTCCCTCCCCTCCCCTCCCCTCCCCTCCTCTCCTCTCGAGCGAAAAGACGGAATCCCAAAAGCTTGGCTCGATTCCTACTGCTGCTACTCTATGCCTCCTGCCCGACCCCGACCCCGTCCCCGACCCCGTCCCCCACCCCCTCGCCTCCACCACCATCTCCACTCACAGTATGCCATCCCCTCCTCACAAAGCTCGCCGCCTGCCCAGCATGGCCTCCATTCACCTGACCACTACATTTATCGGGCGGATCTCTCTCTCCATCGCTGCGCTGCGATCCTCGTCTTCCTTTGTTTTCCTCGGCATCGGAATTCGGTCACTCCTCGGCGGCAGGCAGTGGCAGGGGGGGAGGGGGGGAGGGGGGGGTCCGCAGTGCCGCTACCACAGCACAGCATGCTCAGCTTTCTGGCTAGCGCTCGGCTATGCCTGGCCTGGCCTTGCCTTCCCTTGAGCCCCCTCCCTCCACGGGCGGGTGGGCAAGAGGTGACAGACAGCCTACACCGAGTCTCGGGTTACGCCGGCGCGCGCGTATGGGTGGGTATGTATGTATGTATGTATGGAGAGGAAGGGATGGGTGGGGTGTATGGGGTACGTACAGTATGTACAGTGGGTGGGCATGCATGTCCAAGGGGCGCGGAAATGATCACCGGAGATGCTGTAGGGCCTATGGCCGGGGACCCTTGGCTAAGTTTGCTTCGGGTGCCCCACCGGCGACCGACCAGGGGAGACCCGACGTGGGACATGGGTCGCGCTCGCTACAAGAACGACTCAAAGGAACACGTGTCGCGGAAGCCTCGACCGTCGGATATCGCGAGTAGACCAGACCACGTCCACATGGGGACCTCTGGACGCCCATACCGTCATCCGTCCGGCCTTCGGCCGACGGAGATTATTAACGTGGCAACCTTGTTCACAACGCAATCGTAACCCCACATACAACAACTTCGGCTTCCTTCCTTCCCTGACCTATGAAGACTAAGATTAAGGACCCGGTTACCGGACGAACTCCGTCGTCCCTGTCGCTCTCACGGTCCGAGGCCGAGCTCGATTAATTAGGCTACTCCTCCTGCTCCTCCCCTAGGTCAGCTTTGACCGGCTTCTTCGTATCTAGCAACGGAGACCGTCGGATCTTTGACCGGATGCGCGTTTTGACCCACGCGAGGGGCAGAAATCCTCTGTGGCGTGACCGAGCGGCGAACCCGAGCCCAACCCGTGGTCAGGTGCGGGACATGGGGTCGGTGTGGGAGGTATGGGATGCGCGGCATCCATTGCGTCTGCCGCCAGCCGACACAGACAGGCACCCCCACATCATAACGGCTTCCCCGCCGGTACCTACGGGACATACCATACGGATGGACGACACGCGATAATTACCTCCGAAATTTCCCCGGATTAAAGTCTAAAAGCGTATTTGTCTGCACTCTCGTAAGTATCATTGACCCGACCCGACCCGACCCGACCCGACCCGACTCGACTCGCGCTGAACTAACCGAACGGGACGATCCTCGAGTCAGGGCAGGGCAGGCAGGGCTGAGGCGAAAGAGGGAGCGTTTCCGAGGCTTGCAGGCGGCAGCAGCAGTGGGCAGGATCGAAGCCGAGGATAAGGTCAGACCGGGAGTAGACTGTCGTCGGACCGTAGGGTAATTTGGCGAGTGGGGAGCGATGAGGAGCGACTGGCATGTGACGGACGGGGGCTCTCGATCGAGGAATCAACGAAAAGCTAAATGCGAGGACTGTGGGACCGTGACGGGGGGCGAGGGGGTCTTGTGTCGGGCGGACGGGCGGGTGGAAGGAAGGAAGGGCCTTGCTGGCTCGATGGCTCGCTGGCTGAGGAAAGGGCGATTCGACGGCGGCTAATGTCTGATATTCATTCAGGGCGAGGAGCTGCGCCAGATAAGTGAAGAGAAGGCGCGCGTGGTGGGGCCTGGGGGAGTACAGACAATAAGGGAAATGGGCGAGGAAAGTGGTCGCCGCCTACAGCAGCATCATCAGGGGAAGGGGGAGGGAAGTTGGGCGTAAGGGGGGAGGGACCTTTTTGAGTCCAGTGGCAGTATTTATGCTGCGGCTTCAAAAAGGTCTTTGCTCCTTTTGTGCTGAGGTCACGAGCTGATGCACTGGAGGACATACGATTGTCCCCCCTCGGAAATCTACTGTTTCCTTCTCTCGCTCATTTTCAAGAGGCCCAAAAAGCCTATTTTTGTTATGGACTTTTAAAAGCCCCACGACCCGTTCCAGTTCCCTAGGCGCGAGCTCTCAATGCTTCACTGTTCCCTCTTTCTCAACCCCCCTTTGATAATTCCACTGATCCTTTGAGCGAATATCAGAAGCACCCCCAGCAGCAAGCAGCAAGTCCTGCTGCTGCTGCTGCTGCTGCAGCAGACGAGCATCCTCCGATGTGGAATGGGATCGACCGTATCCACCCTCTCCCCCAGCTCACCACCCTCGACAAGCAAAAGTCGCTCGCTCCCTCCCTCACTCATGAGTCACTGAACTCTAGGGCCAGTGTGAGTCAAACATGGCAGTCCAGTTCAAATTCATCTCGATCCCCTCCTTCCCCTGCTGATGACTCACAGTCGCCTGAGCTGTATGTACCAAAGGCTTGCCCCAGACCAATTCAGAAAATAGTCTGTGATGTGTCATGTCTGTGTGTTAGCTCGGCCCAGGCAAGGATTCTGTGATTTCATCGGTGCAGACGCAAAGCCAGGGCATATTTGCAGTTCAATATTACCCTAAGTGTCGACACAAGCCCTGAGATCGGACTACAGTACCTGCCTCATATTATAGCATCGTCACGTCAGGAAGTAAGTTCAAATATTCCTTCAAAGCAATAATAGCCCTAACCCAACAATTGAAATAAATGTAATCATCTTTCGGAATCAAGAGCTAATCAGAACATTCGCTAATAAAGACGGCCTTGATTCATGAGCTCCAGTTCGAAGCTGTATTGGATGGTGAAAGGTGCGAACCCTTCCTTACCATCAAAATTTGCTTCTCATGGGGATGGATGTTCCGCGATCGTGTTATGAGATGTGAATCGAGAGCAGCACGTGACTTTCGTCAAGTTGTGATTTTTATGTGCAATGGACTCTCAATGGCAGTGGATAAAAGAAGGGACGTAGAGATCTTCTTCATGCAACCGAGTGATCTAAGATATGGATGAACGCGACGGTGCAAGGAAGGTTATTGACCACAAAAGAAGCATCTGCTGTAGAATAAATCTGCTGCTAAATACCAAAGGCTGCTGGAAATTATAGCAGACCAAAGGGGGAAAGCAGGTCAAAGTGATCAGATAAACTCCTGTATGTAATTGCTAAAGGCCACCCTCTAGCAATTCTATCAACTGCAGTGAAGCTTAGGAAAATGAACATGAGATCAGGTGTTGTGGGACTTAAAAAAATTAGAAAATCTCATGTATACTTCGATCTCATAGTATAATCAACGACGAGAACTGAAAGATTGTAGATGAAAATGCATAAAATGAATGTGATACTAGCTTGATCCTTCCAATACTTATTTTAGCTTGACTAGACTATTATTGTAGCTTCACGTGAGATATATGAATCTTCTTCCGCCATATTTGATAGATTCTTATTATTGGAAAGCAGATATTACAGTTTTAAGATGGAGGTATCACATTTAGGTGGAAAAACCACTGGCAAGGGCAACAACGTTTAGAAGTAGACTACCGTTGAGATGTCAAACTTCTTCAAGACAAGAGGAAGACAAAAAATATGAAACCAACCGTTCACATTAATTATTGGTTCAAAAGCTATGTTCATCTTCTGCACTTCACTAGGGGCATGATAGTTGATTTGGAAAGCTTAATGTCTGACAGGAAGAGAGCGTGTTTTAGAACAGGTGTGTTAATACTCACCAACGATTCAAACGAAAAAGTTCAATATCCGTATATTTGACAAGTAGTAATTATAATCAAATAAAGAGATGTATGAAGTGTTAGATTCGGTAATTTTTCCTCAAGATCAATTATAAATCTCGAGGCAAGAAATAAGAGTTTTATCCTGGTATTCCATAGACAATTACTGAATCATCTTGCATACTTTGAGGATTGTATTAACGGGAAAATGTTAAACAATCACAAGGATTCAATACCCCCTCTATTCTGAGAAATAATTGAGCTTCTATGGATGCCTCACTTTCAGATGTTGGAATAAGACTCCATGGTGAAATATTTAAAAAAATAATATTCCTGCAGTGCTACATATATTAAGATACTAATTTCAGGACTTTAATAGGTAGTCAATGTTTGTGTGGAATCTGATCAATTGATACAGTGCTTTTAGTTTTGATTAAATCGATCGTATGTCATTTAAAAAAATCTAAGAATTATTCATTGAGCTATCGTTTGTTGCAGTCTAAAGAGATGCAAGGAGTTTAATGTGTAATGGTGTCAGCCAAGGATTACTTGAAATCAAAAGTGTCATTGATTCACATATTACGATTGGCAGCCATATGAAAGAAAAAAGGGTGTGCTTTCTTCATTTTTGTATTTATACACCAGTGTTGAGTCTGGATCAGAAGAACTATAAGAAAATATTCACAAGCTATTGTCGCTTGAATGATTAATTCACTTAAGAATAAGAGTAAAAAGAAAGCAGTCAATGAAAAATCATGCAAATATTATAATAGTGATTACATTATTAGGAGCATTATAATGTACGGTGATAAAAAAGCTACAACTTGAACTATTTGATATAAATTATAGGCCATATATATGTCATGCAAGGCTGCATGAGGTCCACATATCCATAGTATCCTACTCTACTAAGATGGTAGAGACAAAAAAATAAAGACAAGAAGTTTCTGAGATCTCATCATGATCTAAGATTTACGCTTCATTTTCCAACATTTAAAAAACTTAGTCTTCTTGCATGTTAGACGAGAGTTAGATAGCTGTGTAGGAGTAAATATGCTACTTGAAGTCTAAAGTGCAATTCAGATAGCTAGGACTTAGTCAGTAGGGTTCAAATGAGGGCTATTTAGAGAGCAATTATTGTAATCAGAACAATATGAAAATGTTATAGAGTGGTAGTAGCTAGTGAAAAAACCTCAAAGTGAAATGCATGGATTTGGCTTGACTATTAACTTTGATTTAGGTTATGGAA